GATGAACAATCTCTAACATATTGTGAACTTCTATATTATGTTCAAGTTTTATCTTTAGCTCTTCTTAATGAATATCATGTTTTTCCAGGTGAGGTTGTGTGTCAGTGTGTTGAGAGAAGTTTGTCAATGGTAAGTTGATTAGGATGAATAACAATTAATGTGAGTTTGATGTTGTTTTTTGACTAGGTTATTGGTATGATGGGAATTGAAATGGCAGGTGGTGTCTATTGTCCATTATCACCTCGAGATCCACTACATCGTTTACATGCACTTACACAACAAACACAAAGTCGTCTTGTTCTTGTTCATGATTTGACCAAGATCAAGTTTAATTATGGTACCGTGTTACTTAATATCGATTCAATTTTGACTAATACAAAGACGGATATTTTAATTTGTATGGATCCGCTCTCAAATATCACAGTAATACCTGATAATATAGCTTATATCATTTTCACAAGTGGATCAACAGGAATACCGAAGCCGGTTAGTAAAAACATGATTTTTGTAACTTCATACCATATATACAGTAGTGGCCAAAAGTACTCCCCCCCCTTGTATCTCAGCCATTACAAGTGCTGTTCATCTGAAACTTTGTATGCATATAGTACTCAGTGAATGTAGTTCAGCGACACAACCGGCGCCCCGATCGCATTTAGTATAAGGGAGTTATAGCGAAAACAGTGTTTATTATTGTGGACCTCATAAATCCAGAACGGAAGGACTTATAGAGTCGCGGTTTTTTTTATTAAATAGCCCTATACTTTGACTATGTTTGGTAAAATTTTCATTGATTTTCATTGAGCCATTGTAGAGCTATAATTTTTTTACTAGGAACATTGATTTGGACAAAATCGTCCAATTACACTAAAAAATTCATAATTCAGCGAAAGTTCAATTAATTCACTTGAAACTTGTAAAGAATACTCCTCTATAGTTACTCGTCATTAGATAAAATTTTCAGATTTTTATCATGTACTATAAAGAAATGGCACTCTGGTAAATATAGCACTATTGTCATACCTATAGCTACTCGAATATTCAAGTAATTCATTTCATCTTTTTACCACATACCTAGCATAGGTAGGGGTATATATACATATAAAAAAAACATACAAAATCCATCAACTACTATGAAAACAAAACATGAACTTTTAAAACACGTTTTTACGTCATTATAATCAAATTTTAATTTTTTAAATAATTGATTTATTTCGATATTAATTTTTTTTTATTATTATTATAAAGTTTCTACAATTAAATGAAGTTTATACAATATACAAAACTAACCTAGATAATAAAAAAAATAATATCGAAATAAATCAATTATTTAAAAAATTAAAATTTGATTATAATGACGTAAAAACGTGTTTTAAAAGTTCATGTTTTGTTTTCATAGTAGTTGATGGATTTTGTATGTTTTTTTTATATGTATATATACCCCTACCTATGCTAGGTATGTGGTAAAAAGATGAAATGAATTACTTGAATATTCGAGTAGCTATAGGTATGACAATAGTGCTATATTTACCAGAGTGCCATTTCTTTATAGTACATGATAAAAATCTGAAAATTTTATCTAATGACGAGTAACTATAGAGGAGTATTCTTTACAAGTTTCAAGTGAATTAATTGAACTTTCGCTGAATTATGAATTTTTTAGTGTAATTGGACGATTTTGTCCAAATCAATGTTCCTAGTAAAAAAATTATAGCTCTACAATGGCTCAATGAAAATCAATGAAAATTTTACCAAACATAGTCAAAGTATAGGGCTATTTAATAAAAAAAACCGCGACTCTATAAGTCCTTCCGTTCTGGATTTATGAGGTCCACAATAATAAACACTGTTTTCGCTATAACTCCCTTATACTAAATGCGATCGGGGCGCCGGTTGTGTCGCTGAACTACATTCACTGAGTACTATATGCATACAAAGTTTCAGATGAACAGCACTTGTAATGGCTGAGATACAAGGGGGGGAGTACTTTTGGCCACTACTGTATATATGGTATGAAGTTACAAAAATCATGTTTTTACTAACCGGCTTCGGTATTCCTGTTGATCCACTTGTGAAAATGATATAAGCTATATTATCAGGTATTACTGTGATATTTGAGAGCGGATCCATACAAATTAAAATATCCGTCTTTGTATTAGTCAAAATTGAATCGATATTAAGTAACACGGTACCATAATTAAACTTGATCTTGGTCAAATCATGAACAAGAACAAGACGACTTTGTGTTTGTTGTGTAAGTGCATGTAAACGATGTAGTGGATCTCGAGGTGATAATGGACAATAGACACCACCTGCCATTTCAATTCCCATCATACCAATAACCTAGTCAAAAAACAACATCAAACTCACATTAATTGTTATTCATCCTAATCAACTTACCATTGACAAACTTCTCTCAACACACTGACACACAACCTCACCTGGAAAAACATGATATTCATTAAGAAGAGCTAAAGATAAAACTTGAACATAATATAGAAGTTCACAATATGTTAGAGATTGTTCATCTAGTTCGACAGCTAGTTTTTGTGGATGTTTCATCACTTGATACACAAACTCATGATGGATACAAGTGAGAGCAGATGAAAATGATACTTGTGTATTATTCAATGATTGCATTAGATATTGTTCATTTGATAATGTTAATGATAATTCATAGATTGGTTTGTTTATTTGACTGTCGATAATAGATGCAGATAATTGATGTAAGATGGAATGAAATCGTTGTGAAATATTCTCCGCTGTCTCTCGATTGAACAAGTCAAGTGATACATTGATTGTGCACGATAAATGATTGATGTTCATATCATGACAAATAGAAAGAGAGAAGTCGGACGCACTTAGTCTCTCATCTTCATTCATATTGAATGGAAAAGGTGCTGAAATAATTTGAGAATCACCAATCATAATTGCATTGTTACTCTTGTATGATATAAATTCCAGAGATGTATTGAGAAATGCATATTTGGAAATATGTGGATGTTGATTGAGAATGCGTTGAAGTGGAAAATAAGAATATTTCATGCTATTTATTGTTATCTCTCGAATATGTTCAAGTAGCTGATGAAAAGACAAATGAGAATCTAATTGACATCGTAATGGGATGACATTCTCAAACAGTCCAATGATTGATTTGAGTTCATCTCTATATCGATTATTATTGATGTTCATAGCAAGACATAGGTCTGTTTGTCCATGAGTTAGTTTAAATAGAAAGATGAAATAAATAGCAAATGTGAGGTGTTCAGGTGATATGCTATTTGATGATACATAGGTAAGAAAGTGATGTGAAAGATCTTGACCAAAATCAAAAGAAATAGATGTTCCACGACTAGATCGATATTCATTTGAGAGACGATATCGATCAAATGGTAATGATAAAGACTGATCGAGTTTACAATCATGAAGAGCATCAAGCCAAAACATACTTGCACCAGTCATTGACATTTGTTGTTCAATAACAGCATCTACAAACGTAAAGAAAAGGATGTATTAGCCAAAAGAGAAAAATACAAGAACTAATTATATTTACAATCGAGATAACGTAGAGTAATGTCATCATTGTTAGATAGGTGACTTGTTATATACGCTTGATTAAGATCATGAAGAAAGATATTCATTGATGGAAAATCAAATAAAGCATGATGAAAGTTAAAGATAAGTAAATCTTTGTCGGAAAGAAGATCATCCGAAGAGATTTGTTTGTAGTAAATAATATGACATCGAAAGGCAAGACCTTGACTAAGATCGAAAAGTTGCGGATTATGTCTTTCTTCGTGCAGGATATAATTAAGTTGTTCATGTGTTGCATAAGTGCTTTCAATAAACGTAAATAGTTGTCTATTATTATCGTTCATATCAATGATTTGTTGCATGAGTCGATTGGTGTGTGTATGAAATATGACTGATGTTCGAAGAGATTCATGTTTTGTAACGATTAGATGAAGAGCATGACGAAGATGTTGTACTGATAAAGTATGATGTGAGTGGAGAGAATAAACAAAAGGCATGTTGTAGACTGGTACTTGAGATAAGTGAGGAGTGAGATGAAAAGATTCGTTATGCCATATTAGAGCTTGTGCAAATGATGCTGGTGCTAGAATGATAGGGGATTTTTAGATTATAATTCGAGAGAGTAGTGGTCAAATGGTATCTGATATCGATGCTTTACACACTTTTCGTGTGATTGGTTTTTTAACTAAGAAGACAATTGATTGAGGATGTTGAGTTAGTATGAAGATGGCATTAACTGTAACTGATTTAAATATTTCTTCGTTAATGTTAGAAAGTATTTCAAGATTTTTTTTATTAATGTCGAATTTGTTTCAGTATAACATGATTATTAGGATCATATTAGAGCCATGGAAGTGACATCAGCGAAAGAAAATGAAAGAAAGGGAAAATGGAGAAAAAGTGACCTTCGTGGGATTCAAACCCACACCTCCTGCTATCCGGGCAGTTATCCTAAACCAATTAGACTGGAAGGATCAACTTAATCTCTAGATTAGTGTCGAGTGAATCACACAGACGCTAACAATGATTGTTGATGATTCTGAGAAGAGTGCAGAACTGATGAATATTTACAAGGCTAGTGTGAAACCTAACGGAAATGTGTGTCTCATGAGATTTATCAAGATTTGTATTATGTTACTACAAATTCAATACTAATGCCAAAATATGAACTTATTTTTCTAACAGGAAGACAAACTTTTTAAATGATCCATTTGTGGAAGGTGTTGTTTATGGTATGAAGTATTCATGCACTATTTTCAGAAATTCTGTGTTAATCCTTTTGTGTAAGCGGTGGTGTAAAGGTATCACCAGTGATTGGATACTTAGTGCAGTACTTAAGTATTTTCGTACTTTTTACTTAA